TATAAAGACTCCTTAGGCCACATAAAGGTAAATGCAATAAAAAAAAATAAACACAATTATTTAAAAAACATGTTTACTAAAACTATAACTTTAAAAAATATTCAAATTAGTGACTAAATAGGTGCTTAAAAAGAGTATTTTACTTGACTGTAAAGACTTTTTAAGCCATGGGAAGGTAAAAGGTTTTGTGTTTGTGAATATATATATATATGTATATATATATATATATATATATATATATATATATATATATATATATATATATATATATTTGAATTTTTGTAATAGCATTATTATTGCTTACCAATTTGTATAAATTTAAGAGGATATCTTTTATTCCTTTTTTTTTTTTTTTTCTTTGTAGGATTAATGAGTCAATAAGATTAGCCTTTGGATTGCGTAATTTTGTTAAATATCTAATTTTTTTTTTAATTTCACTAATATTTTTTCAGATTTAACTTTATAAAAAATAACATTTTTATTAGTATGTTTAGTAAGCTATCTTCCATTTTAACACATATTTCATATTTTTTGTATTTTACAAATTTTATTGTAAATTAATAATGATATCTGTACTTTTATACTATATATTTTTTTTAATTAGTTAACTTTTAAAGGTTATTGATTTTAATAATCTTTTAATTACTGAAATAATGCAGTTTAATGATTTTTGCGAGTTGCGCTAATACGGAGTTCTTGATTTAACTCGCTATATCGGATGGTTCAAATTGGATCATTTAAAGTTTTATTTTAAAGTATATGTTGTATGCGTATTTATAATTAATAAAGTCTTATAATTATTGAACTATAAATTTTAGAAATTTTAAATATTTTGATATTTTTTTATATGTTGTTCATTGAGGATATAGTCGCGGAATGCATTTTCAGCTATATTATCGACTGGTATAATAGGGTGTGTCGATTTTTATGATAAAGTGCACTTTTTTTAATTTAGAAAAAAGAGTAGTGAAAATTTAAAAATTCATAACTTTTTAAAAGGAGTGATATTTTAAAAAATTAAATAATTTTAGTGCTAGCTTGGTAACTTTTCATTTTATTTTTACTTATTTTGGTTTTGCAAAAATAAGTACCAAAAATGCGTAACTATTCATTTCTTTTCATTTTACTTCATATTCGGACCAAAAGGAAAGCTCCGGTAAACATATTTAGTTTATTAGAGATGTCGAATAGAACAAGGAATGCATTATTTATTAAAATGAGCAATCTTGTAGGGAATGGAAAAGAACTTTATGTATCTGAGCTTCCAACAGCCAGAGATATTTTACGATATGGTATACTTTTATAAAAAGTCAGTGAAAAAAAATCGAGGAATTATACTGTAGATCAGCTATTAACTGATATAGTACCCACTGTTCTTGGTCAATGGTTAAAAGCTAATGCCCTTTTTTGTATATCCAGTTGTAATCCATGAAAAAACAATTTTTAAAAAACTCAAGTATTTATGGAAATCTGCTGTCGATTTTAGTAATGGACGTGGAAAAAAAGCTGAAAAAGAAAGATTTTCTCTAAAAGTAGACAAGCTTGTGGACATTTACTGTGTAAATGTAAATTAATTCTTTGTTCAGAGTACAAATGTGGTTCAGGATGCATGGAAAAAATTAATATAAAATGCAAATGTAAGAGAGAAGAGAAAATACCAATTGTAGAGCTTCAATTTATTTATTCTCAGAGAACTAAAATAGGAAGCTTTGGAACTTTTCATATTGGTAGTGCAGATAGAAAAGAATCCAAAAAATTGAAAAAAAACAACAACAAAAAATAGCAATGATAAAGAAAAAAAGGTAGCTATTTAATAATACTTACTTGTACGACAATATAATATATACAAACATTTATCATTTTAAAAAGAAATGTTTATTATAACATATAACTTTTTTTTTAAAGCAGATAAAACAAATGATAAACTTGAACAATTTGATTGACTGAACGAAAATGAATATGTATCTCCTTTTCAGACACATATGGGGGAAGTAAGTTTAAAACTATTAGTTGCTATCAAAGTATTTCATTTTTAGTATTTTTCTTCATATTCTGTATTCAAGTGGGTTTTTATTACAATTGTAAGATTGAATTAAAATTCTATATTGTATTTTTGTGGACAAATATGAAATTGAGCAGATGTGGAGTTAAATAAGTTATTGATTATTTTGAGAATGAAACAAAAACTGTTGCATAAATTTTAGTATAGATTGTGATTAAAAATAAAAATAAAATATTTGTATTTTTTAGGATTATGTACGTCACAAAACTGTTGTGCAAGAAAAAGTTTTATGCAAATAGCTCCTCTATGACATTTCAAGATAATAGTGAGCAGAACATAATCCAAGTAGATACTCAAACTAAATGTAAATCACCCCTTAATCAAACTTTTTCTATGTATAATACTATGAAAATCAAAAATATTGCACTGGCTAGCATGAGACATCAAACAAGTTTTAGAGAAGCAGCTGAAATAGCCACAGCTACCTTGATAGATGCAAAACTTATAAGCGAGAGTGGTTTACACCTTATTATAGATCATAACAAAATCAAAAGTGCTCAAGAAAAATTAGCAAAAAAATTAAACAACCAGTTTGAGATAGACCTAGAAAATAACCCGGTTACTTGCCTTTTTTTTGATGGAAGAGTAGATGCTACAAAAATGTTTATAGAGGCAAATGAAAGAAATTTTCCTAGCCTTATTAAAGAGGAACATTACTCTGTTGTAAAAGACCCAGGGGGTGACTATCTTTTCCATTTTGTTCCAGATGTGACAGCTAATAAAAAAAAAGCAGAAGTTATTGCAGATTACTTGGTTGACTGGTTAAAAACTAAAAATCAAATTCAAAATCTCATGGCTATTGGAGGAGATAGCACAAATGTTAATACTGGTTGGGCAAGCGGTGTCATGCAATGGGTAGAGAAAAAATTAAATAGAAGATTAGTTTGGATTGTTTGTGATTTACACACTGGTGAGTTAGGGTTTAGGCATTTAATTGAAAATTTAGATGGTAAAACACTTTCTTATAATAAATGGTCTGGACCACTTGGGAAAATGCTTGACACAGCAACTGAAATTGAAATTAATTCAAACTTTACTAAAATAAATTTAGGTCCTCCTTTAATATATCTCAGTCAGGAGACTATTAAGGATTTAAGCACTGATCAAAGTTATGCCTATCAAATTTGCCAAGCAATAAAGACTGGAGTTCTACCTAACAGGTTAGCAATGCTGGAAATTGGACTAGTCTGCCACAGTAGATGGCTAGCAACAGCCCTTCAATTTTGCAGAGTTTGGGTGTCAAATCATGGGCTTATTGGTGAAAATCTAGAAAATTTACAAATGATTGTAAATTTTGTTGTTAGTGTTTACATACCCAATTGGTTTAACATTAAAGTGAAATCAAATTGGATAGAGGGTCCCAGACATGTTTTATATCAACTAGAGATACAACTCAAAGTAAAAATGTTTTAGATATTGTTATGCCAACAATTAGGCGATCAGCGTGGTATGCACATTCTGAAGCAATTTTACAAGCCATGCTTTGCAGCAAAAATACAGAAGAAAGAAAAGAAGCTATAACTAGGATTCTTAAGATTCGAGGAGAAGGAGATGAGGTAACTCAAGTTGGAGATAGTAGTATCAGAGTAAGAAAAACACCTGAAATAAATCCTCAATCTGATCAGCTAGCTAACCTCATAACATGGAACTTGAACGTAACTGAGCCACCACTTACCTGCAATCTTACCTTAAGAGTTTTTAAACTACACTATGGAAGTTCCTCCTTGGACTTCTCATACACAGTCTGTTGAAAGATGCGTCAAATTGGTAACTGAAGCTGCAGGCCATGTTTACACACACGAGAGAAGAGAATCTTATATACGTGCTCAGCTTGCAAGTAGACATTTAATGTCAAGAAATAGAAGCAAAAAGGATATGACAACCCTTGTACAAATGCAAGTGGAGTAGCTAAAGTCGTTAAAAAACGATACGTTCGTTAAAAATTTGTATACTTAATACTTTTAATAGTTTGCATTGTTGACAGAAGGAAGTTTTTTTTATAAGTAACGGATACATACAAAAATGAGTAAGGCTTCAGGAATTCTACTGTGTACATACTTTATAGATGCCACCTCATTATATAATCTTTTTCGCAGGCATATTACAATAACAATAAAGAAAATTGGGTTGACAAGACTACCTAAACCCTAAATGAAGGGGGGGGGGTAGCAATTTTTGGGACCTTTTTCAAATTAAAGGATCTTTTTTTTTCTTTTTTTAAGTAATGCTCGAGTGTGAAAGATTTTTTAGAACTTGAAGTTCTTACGACCAGTTTGGGGAAGGGGGGCTCCAACCCTCTAGCCACGGCATTACCTTGTAAAAATGCCTATTAGGTGACACCAGCGCTTAATAAATATAAATACATATTTTTAAATATTCAATATTTACTTACTATCGTTTATCGAGAACATCATACATCATGATAACAGATACAAAAACAATTATCAGTGCAATTTCATTAAAAAAAAAAGATAAACGTTAAAAACGACCAAAAGTGCCAAAATTCATATAAAAATTTACCAAGCTTGCACTTAAAATTTTTTTTTAAAAAATTTTTCCTGTATTTAAATAACCATGAAGTTACTTTTTTTAACTACTCTTTTTTGATATTTGAAAAAAAAAAAAAATCGACACAGCCTACTGGTAAAACGAAATTGCCGTCGACGAATCGCAGTCTATATTATTTAACTGAGTTTTTTTTTTCTTTTAAATCGAATAAGCCGCAAAGAAGTGTAGCGCACATGTATCAATTGAGGGTTAATGTTTGGCAAGGTACTCTTTTAATTAATATATTAAAAGAGTGCCTTGGTTTTATTGGTTTTTTAAAATTTAAAAAACCAATAAAAAAAGAAATTTTTTCCTTCACCACAAAATTACTAACCCTTTAACTCTTGATTATAGCGTGTGACGGAAGGTGAATGCAGTAAAAAAGATCAAATACAACTATTTAAAAAATATGTTTACTAAAACTATAACTTTAAAAAATAATTTAAATTAGAGACTAAATAGGTGCGTAAAAAGAGAATTTTACTTGATGTGAAAATTACTTAGTCTACCGGTGAATGAAGTAAAAATAATATAAACACAACTATTTAAAAAAAATGTTTACTTAAGTTAAAACTTTGAAAATTATCTGAATCAATGAGTAAGTATGTGCGTGCATAGAAATACAAATGCAAGTAAGCTCACTCGCGATCTTTGAACAAAATCAGTATCAATAATTGCAGTGGATGTATAAACATAAGCCCAAGTACTCCAAGGTGTTTTTACTAAATCATAAATAGTAATTAAGACAATAAACAAATAAGATCAATTACTAAAATAGATATACACTTATTTCTTATACTTTTTAATAATGGAATATTTTTCAGTATCAAAATATGTTTTTAGTATAAATCATGAAAGGTTTTTTTTTTCATAAATTGCTCATGATGAAATGATTTGATCTGATGGTTTGATGAGAAAAGACATTATTATTTATTATATTTACTAATATAACATCATACTATAATTAGAAAAGTAATTATAGTAACATCATACTATAATTAGAAAATCATAATAAAAAAATAGGCATAATAAAAAAAATGCACAAAAAAAATCAGTCTAAAGTAGCATAATAAAAGTAACAATATTATTTATATACTTTGTATGGAAAAATATGTGCCATTGGTGAAAGAATTAATTAATAAATATGACATTTGAAACATTTTTTAATAATTCATAACCTCACCATTTTCACTGTTAACAGGTGACGATACTTAAAACATTAAAAAAAAATGAGTAAATTAAAAAAGGTTAAACATGTGAAAATTTTTTTTTTAATAAAAATTGTAAAACGGTAACAGTTTTACAATTTAAAAAAAATTTTTTTTTTAATAAAAGTAAAACGGTAACAGTTAAAAAATGTCATATTTTTTAATTAATTCTTTCACCTATTGCACATATTTCTCCATAAAAATATTTTTCTCCATACATTTTTTTTTATTGAAAAATTATTGTCATCATCAATATAATTGTTACTATTATTATTAGCATTTTACCATATAATAGTATAACAAGGAACATAATTCTGCTGTTGCCGTTGACAATCCGTGTGTGTTATGACAGTTAGTTTTTTAAAATGAGTTTTTACACTCTGGCATACATTATGTATTTTTATATTTTGTCCTCGCGGTAAGGTAATCTTAAATCGCCTATAATGAATAGCCTATGAATATTATTAATAGTGCGCATAGTTACGCATTGTTACGCCTATTGTTCGTTTTGTTAATTACGGTTCTGCATTATGTAAAATAATGCAGAACCGTAATACAGAAATAATGCATAAGTTTGCGTTTATTTTAGTCTACTTTATATTTCTCTATATCTATACTATATGTATATTTTCTCTTAGCAAAAGTTATTGAGAATAGAAAAATAAAAAAAACTCTGGAAAAAAAAAATCTTCTGGAATTTGTCCAATTTTGACAAATTCCAGAAGAATTTTTTTGACTCAAAAGAATGTTGTGTTATGCTTCATTTTAAGGTATCTAATTATGTATTTATTTTTCATTTTTTAGAAGAAGTTAGAACTAAATTGACTGGTAAAATAGTTTTATTAGCACAATGTTTCTTTTTTAAGAAAACTGTTTCAGTTCTGTCATTAGTCTTTTTAAAACATTTTAAGCAAGTATTTACTTGAATTTTTAGAGCAGTTAAGACGAAATGATCGCTTTTTTAGTAAGTTTACTTCATTTTCTCATACATAGGCTAAGATTTTTTTTATATAGAATAAATAATGAGAATAAAATTTTATTTATGTATTTAATATGAAATGTTAAATAAAATAAGACTGTTATTTGTGGTCATGTAAGTTTATATACATTAGTTTGCGTTTATTTCAGTCTATTTTATATTTTATATCTATATGTATATTTTCTCAAGGAAAAATGATAAGGAATAGAAAAATTGCTCTGGAATTTGTCAAAAGAGTGTTGTGTTATGCTTAATTTTAAGGTATCTAAATATATACTCATTAGAAATTTTTAATTTTGTTTTTAAATAGTTTATTCTTTTTCATTACTTTAGATAAATATATACTGACTGACATAACTTCATTTTTATTAACAATATCGTGCATTATAGTCTGCATTCTTTGTACATTTAAAATAATTGATGCTAATAAATGTTGTGTTATAGTTAAAAGTTTGCACATATGTTTGCATGTATATTATGATCAAAGTTAAAATTTTTTTGATAAATACGTGTATGTGGTGATATATGTTATATAGTTGTTTTATAAATGTGTTTTTATAATAGTATGAAATGTATTATATCTAATTTCTGCAAGATTGTTAAATGGGGTGTTTTTATATGCTAAGTAACATTAAAAAAATATATTGTTTTATAATTAGTATATATGTTTATATAATGTTGTTTCCATGATTTCAAAGTGAAATGACTTGGCAAACTTGTAGAGCAAGATTTATCAACCTTACCAGTCAAGCGATGTTACTGCTTTAGGTCTAAGTGTTGCCTAGCCTTTAATATAACTATTGTGAAAACACATTGTTTTATCTTTAATAATTTTTTGCGTAATGTTGTTACCTTTGGTTTATCTTTACGTTGGTGTCAGCTGTTAATAATGATTAACAAGTAGTTTCATTATTAGAACTCACTGCTTTTATTTATTTACTGAAATTCATTTCGCTATAAATACAATTTGTTTATCATAAAAAAATAATATTTAGCAACTTCTACTCAGGTATCATCACAGCTTATCTCTATCAGGTACATTAATTTTTAATTCACATATGATGTTTTTCTTTGTTACATTTTTAACTTCAGATTTATGGTGTATTTATTTGCTATAGAAGAACAAATCATTTTGAATTTTTAAAAAAAATCTACTCCAATCAACATTTAAAGTTCATTGTTGCATATATCATTTTTAAGTAGCTTCTAGGCTTTTGTGATGCTTTTCTTATTCAAGTGGTTTTATAAGCAAGGTCTATATGCAAATTTGAGATAAAAAGTTTTTCAGCTTTCAAGAAGTATCAATGTTGTTCTCTGTTTAATTTAATTTGTTTAAATAGAGTAGTTTTAGTAAATAAATGTTTGTTTGTTCTTGGTTTTTTACTTATTTGTTTTCAGATTCTAGAACTAGGCAACTTAGCAAAGCAAGATTTATTTTATTTTTTAGTGCAATTGGAAAGAGCTAAAGTGCTTTTTAGTCACTTCTAATTATTTGTTTCTTTTTTTAAATAGAAGGGTTAATAATAAAAATATTTAGACAGTCGAACTGTTACTGATTTGAGTAAGTTTAGATTATTTTTGTGCATTAAGATTGTGCCTGAAGGCTTTCTTAATTTAGCAAAGAATTTAGAACACAATGCAAATAACTTTGCATTGTGTTCTAAATTCTTTGCTAAATTAAAATAATGTCAATAAATTTCTTTTTATATTTTTCAGTTGTAAAAATATAAAACGTTCATTTATTCAGTTGTAACAGTAGTATAATCACTGGTAATATATATTTAATGATAACAGATGTATAATATTAGGCTCGAAGAAGTTATTAGTGTAAATGGTTATAGGTGACTTGAAATTGTTGTCATATGAAAGAAATAGATCTAGGCGTAATAAAATTAATTGTCGTTGAAATATAAGGAATTTTGCTTGATGAATCGAAAACTTACTTGACAGAATTCAGTGTCAAGCGGTGTTGATGTCTATTATTTGACTTTACATTAGACACTTTAAAATAAAGCAAAGTATGAATTTTACTATTTATAGTAACAAATAATAACAGCTTCAATTTTAAATGTTTTTTTTTTTTTTTTTTTTTGTTATCTTAAACATAATTGTGTTCATTTTTTTTTAGTTGTCTTTGTCATCACTTGATTATTTTGCTTACTGTTAAAACATGGTTTTAATTTTGTAAATTTAATATGATGTGAAATTTACAATATTAATCATTTGTCAACAGTTAGAGAGAAGCTGGAACTTAATCAAGAAATGCTGGAAATTAATTTTTAGTCAAGGTAAAAATAATTTTTTTTATTGGAAGCATAATAAAACCAGTTACTGTTATTTATTGCATGACTTTTTTACTTTTTCTAACATGCTGTTTTTAAAACACTTCCTCTCTCTCTTAGATGAGACTTAAATAATATTAGTATTGAGAATTTATTAAACTCTGTAATTACTAAGCTCTTGCGTATTTTTTATTACTGCGATTGATAATTTACTATTTAAAGATATAATTATTTAAATTGTCCCTTGGTTGTTCAAATATTGTAATAAATAAAATCTTTTTAGTCTCAAGTATTTTCTCTTAGGGATCGTCTATATATTACGTAACGCGAAATTAAACATATAGACAAAAGAAATATCTCAAAACCGTGTTTCTCTCATGGTCAACTATATGCTGCATTTTCAAGAACTATAGCATTTAATAGTTTGTTTTTCAAAATTGATAAACATCTTATTCAAGGTATAGTAGGTTAAAAAATGTAACAAATATTGTTATATTTTTTAATGTTCTTAATTTATAGTCTTTAGATTTTCATTTCGAAAATTTATTGTTAAAGGTTGTGAGCACATTTTGTATGTGTAACTTTATCATTATTTATTTTTTTTTCATTGTTTTTGGTAAATATCTATCACTCAATAGTTGTAAAATGTGTTTATACGTGTTACATTAAGTCATATTTGTTTATAGTTGTATATATGTTTAAATTATAAAAGCCAAAACAACAATTTATATCTTAGTTTGATTTTTTTTTTAGTATTGCTTAGGTACTTTTAGTATTGCTTTGGTACTTCGAAACAGGTTTTATAGTTACATTTTCGATAAATCTTTAACTGCAATTTCAAAATAGGTTACTATAAATGGGTAAATCGATTTTTGGTAATTGTGTGGTGGTTTTTTTTTTTTTTTATTTTTCTTTGTAATTATGATATCATAATTTCATTACTTTTTTATTTTAGAATTACGTTATGACGCATTTATAAGATTTATAAAATAAAATAACCTGATTTCTTTTTATTGTAAATTTTTGTTAGTTAAAAAGATATAAATATATGCTATTAGTTAATTTTATATTTTATTTATTTTATGCCTAATAATTTGTTGTACGTATTTTAAGGGGATCTTTGTAAATGGGGGGTCGTAACTAAAAACCTTTAAAAACATGGAGAATATTGTAGTTTTGCGCATTTAATATCGAGTTACTTAAGTTTTTTTTTTATGTGTTTAACTAATTAGTTAGCTTAGTCTGTATTTGCA